TATTAGATTTGTCCAGAAGAGACCCAAAGTGTCTATTCTAGGCATGAACCACAAGTGGACTTATTGTCGCGGGCAGGGTCCTGGCCGCCATTTCCCGCACTCAGTTTTTATTACTGCTGCTTAACATTGTAGTCCCAATTTCACGATTGCTGGCGTGCTCAGCGAACAGACCTTTTCGTGCTAGGTCAGGAGCTGTTGTAAGGAAATCCCTCGTCTGTGATGGAGGCTATTGGTAGAAGCCCTAAACCCTCTGATATTAAGTCCACCTATCTAAACGGCCTCAGTTCCATTGAACAGTAGATGGTCCAGCTCTCTTATGCGACAATTCTCACGCTCTATCGCACCTTGGTGATGAGTGTTGTAACCAAAGGTGTGTCGAGATAAAACGTGATAATTGCTATACTCTTTGTCAAAAAATACACTTTATATCGTTTGTTTTGTTACATTGTACGCTGCTCTTGGCTTTTGTTAAATTATATTTATTCTTGCTCTACATTTTTCAAAATGCTATTGCCGGCTTACTACGAAAACGCATTCTGATGAAGACTATTCCGACGACATCACGTTAATTAGGAGCTTTCGGCACCAGACGTGACGAATTTTGCTAGGCACACGTACACACATGGCATGTCTCGCGTGCATATATACAAAAACGTCATGCGTAAAGATGTTGATGATTGTGGTGCCAGATAGCAGCTTTTTACATAACAATAGAACTCTGAATATTATTGCAGGATAATTGTGGATGATATGAAAAATATAGATGACGTCAAAAGTGAATATGCAGGGTCAGAAATGCCGAAAAAACGCTATCATTTTCATTTTTCACATTTTGCACCGTCGTGAAACGAAACACATGCGACATTCTGGCTACGGGACAGCTTCGGTATTGATGCGGAGGATTCGGCGTCAGGTGATCTAGAAGCTGGCACAAAGCCTGCTCGTAGCGCCGTCTGACCCTAGCAGGAGTCAAATCTCGTATTCTCGATTTCCGGCCCCGTGACGAGATTTAGTCTCGATTTCCGGCCCCGTGACGAGATCAGTCTCGACGTTGATCGTTGCATCCACGCGTCAACTGCTTTACTCGACGTCCGCAAAACACTGTCCTCGTAACTGGTGGGCTTCTTCGCATTTATGTTTCGAAGGTTTTTTATATTTTTTGTAATGCTATTGTTTCCAAGACAAGAGGAAAATCGCGTTCACGTAAAGCGGGTTGCCAATGACAACCAATGGTGAACAGCATGTCTTCATTTGTGGCTTACGGGCTTCGGTCCGCTGCACCGTGACGTGTGTTATGAATGGGTGGTGACTATTGACAGACGGTTGGGATACCGGCTTCGAGCAGTAACTGAGCGCAAAATTAACAACAAAACTATAGCGCCATGTCCCCCTTCCAAAAGCTCTTGTTTGATGCACTTGCACTTGACGGCACTAAAGCAGCACTTGATGTCACGGCGTTAAGTCGGTGCCAGTTGATGAGACCAAAGCACGTGCAGAGATATTTCAGCGGGAACGTCAATTTTCTCAAATCCCACGAATTGGGAGCAAATTCTCTTGAAATTACCCAGCATCTGGGGCAAACCTCACGGCTCACGAGGGGGGGGGGGGGGAGGCGGGAGCACGTCCACTTTGGCCTCAGCCCTCCCCTGATATGCTCCTCGTTGATCTGCATCTGCTGAGGTTTAAAATATATTCTGGAAGCACAAACATTTTTCGCCACACAGCAAACAGTATTTGAAAAAAACTTTATTGGCAAGCCTTTAAGAACGACCTCACGGCAGAACCACAAACTGTCGATCTGGAAGAGGCGCCACGATCTCTCACACATGCCAACGCACCCCAAAACTAACTATTTCAAGTGTCCAATTAAAAAAGTCATCATACGAAATGCATCATTGGTTTGTATTCAGCATAGCTCGCACGATAGCACCTTCACTCGTGGGGTTGGCACGCAGCATGGCAGTAGTTTTCAGCCTCGGTCTGCATCCAACCGCGGCCGCTGTAGAAGAGAGGGCTGTACTCCCACAACGAGCAACAACCAGCACACCGTCATCACATCTCAGCACTGTCTTTATGGGAAATGCCCCGGCATAGGTCTACATCGGAGACACGCTATGACCCTGCGATCAGATGTGGCATGCTGTCCATTCACTGGACTTAAAATCTGCTGCTTGGCAGCGAAAATGGCACTTCGTTTAAAAGGTTGTCCTATTAACAATCAACCGCGTAAACTGCACGCTATCCATACTAATGATGCGTTGGAGCAAAGTTCCCATTCTAAATCACCACTCCCCATTTCTCCCTATGCACAGTCTTCTTACAGCAAGATCACAATAGTGGCAACGACTGATGCTTGCAAAGCGCATGTTGGACGTCTTTATCGTGCTCAAATGTCCGCGTGTTGCATCAAGTATGGACGTTTAGGTTAGAGGCAGTTTTCCAACTACCCGGGTCTTGTGTCGCCACCAATCACACCTCACACACTGCGCCTAACACGAGCATGGTCACAAGCTGCACTGCATTGTGACTTCACCTGCAGTGCGACTGCAGTTCTAACCACATATGGCCGGTCCAGCGCACCGGACCGGCCACATATGTGGAGAAGGCCACAATTCACATCGGGCCAGACATAAGTGCCAAGCGGCATTACGTAACTGATCGTGCCACAGCGTGCTTATGATCATGCCACAGCGTGCTTAAAAGGCCCGCTCAGGTCGCACCACTGCCCTGGCAGGACATGCCCGACACCAGGCCGACGCTCGCGGCCGGCCGAGGCACACATCAGGCCGTCCTTTCAGGGCTGCGTGGAGACGGGGTGGAGACGAACTCTCAGCACGTGACAACGTGACGCTGCTCAGGACATGAGCGCGTCTATGGTGAAGGTGGCAGCCCTGGCCGGGGAGCCGGAGGCGGGCGACGCGTTCGTAACCAGACAACGCGCCTTGTCCGCCTGCATGTGGACACACAGGGTCTCGGGCTGTCCCGCGCTACGCTCGCCCCCGCCGCCCATGGAGGCCGCCGAGCCTCCCCCGTCCTGCGTCAGTCTCTGGTTGCGCGTCAGCTGAGTAGTCTCGAGTGGGAACGGCACGTCGGCTGACCCCGCTTCGCTCCCGTCACCATCCGTCAGCCCCAGGTCGCGGACCGGCTGGCTGGTCCTGGGCACGCCCGGGGGGCTGTCCAGCGGGTCGACCGGCCCGGCCTCGGCGTCGGCGTCCTCTGGCGGGCCCAGGCTGTGCGTCAGTAGGTGGCGGCGAAGGTCACAGTTGCGCCGGAACACCTTACTGCAGCCGGTGCAGCAGTACGGCCGGATGTCGGTGTGCGTCAGCAGGTGGGTCTTCAAGTTGGAGCGCTGGTTGAAGCTGCGGCTGCACGTGGGACAGCGGTGCGGCGACTCCTCCATGTGCAGGATCTTGTGCACGGCCAGCGTGCGCGACTGACAGAAGCCCTTGCCGCAGACGCCGCACACAAACGGCTTCTCTTTGGAGTGGATGTACCTGAGAACGGCACAGTGCAACCATCACAGTGAGACACCCTCCCTCTGACTCTGTCGCAGTGCGTTTGGTGCAGGGTCAAATGGGCGGTGTGGAAAAGCAGGGTCTGCAGCAAGATAGTTGGGAATGTAGTTGGGCGCGCCGCTGCCCAACTGTTCCCTCCCCAACTCCCCTCAGTCAATAATCGTCATCCCCTGTGGCCTCCGATTTTCCTCAGTCAAGAACGCCCGGTCCGAGACGGGCCTAGTGACAGGCCCCCTGGGCCTCCGACCCACTGGCCCCGGCCCCGGAGCCGCCCCTGTTAGTCGGCGCTGACACACCGCGCCGGCCGGCCGCGCCGCGCCCAGTAAAAAGTGGCGCGATAAATTCCAAATGAACATCATTGATAGCAGCGCTATAATGTTACTCTTAGTGCTGATTATTCCGACGGGTTATTGTCGGTGGGGATATTTATTAAGCATAAGTCACGGACGTGTGGAATTTACGGTCGTGTAAAATCCGGCTCGCCGTGGTTAAATCACGGGCCGTATTGTGTGTCGGAAATTCTTTGCAAGGCCCACAATTCTTGTCTGTCTCCCAACGATGCCAATGATTAATACTTGCTGCAAAATTGTGCCTGTATGTGTGGTCCCTGAATTATGACGCACATTAAAATCGGAGGCGTTTATCTCCGCATCAATGGTCGCGCACCTCTCGCCGCGCTGTGCCGACCGGCCTCCCGGGGCTGGGGGTGCACAGCAAGTCTGTCTCTGCTGCCCAGCTGAGACCATCAGCACAGGAGTGGCCTCAGCGCGGGTGTTCCGCTTCCAATTTCTCACTCACATGGGACGTAGGCGAACAAAGTCATAGAGAAGCGCTTGACATTTTAAGAAACCTATTCGCGTGAATCCAGCTTCATTTAGCCTCTGGATATTCGCCAGAGGTGAGAGTTTCCTGTCTGAGTTTTAGTTGAATTTAGGGAGTCTAGCTGCAGACCACGATAGTCTCATCCACCGTCCACCGCCAGGTGCTCTCGAGCTGCGACGTTGGCCCCATGAGGTGACGTGGAGACGAAGACCACTGGGCTTCGGGGCTAGCTGGTCGTCTGGTAATAGTCCGGCCCTGGCGCCCCACATACTCCGTGTTTATCACTGCCTCGAAAAGGCTAGTGAACGGCTGTGGAATCTCCATTGTCTGGTCCGCTTGCGCCGCAGTAAAAACAGATGCCGCCCTTCATCCCAATTGGTGCAAAGTATGCCGGCGGCCGAGGCGCACCCAGCGTGCAGCATGGGAGGGGGAAGGGGAGGGGCAGTCAATGAAATCAATCATCGAGCAGCGAGATGACCATAATCAGCGTGGGTGCTCGGAACGCTTACGGGCGTGGCATAGTGGCACTGGCCCTCCCCAGAGGAGGAACCCACCACCGCACCGGTGCACGGGCGCCCACAGATACCGCTGATTGGAGGCCGGTAGCGTCCTTTAAGAATGTGACCGGCTACGCTTAGAAGTAAAAATGAAAAGCATTGGGCCTGCCGGGAAGCTTTCCAGTTTTTCCAACGAATATAAATTTGATTTCAAGAAGCAGTTTTTCAGCTTGAAGAAACATGGAAGAAAAGAAGCACCGACTTTCACTTCTTACAGCGGGCCACGAAGCAAGTGCCGCCCCAATACTGGTACTGCTGGAGTTACTGCTTTTACGCTGTACCCATATCAAGGCTGAAACGTGACAGAAATAGTGCCGCGCAGGTGGGAATGGATGAAAAAAGGAAAGAGGCATCCATAGTTTGAATCGGGGTTGCAATACCGAGGCTTAAACGTATTAAACTCGAAAGTAATTATTTCAGTGAGTTTAAATTTCTGCAAAACGAAAGCAAAACAAATAAATAAATGGAATAGTGCGAGCCTCCCACGTTTCACTCATAGCACCGGAACAAGGCACCTCTCTAGTCCTCGACTGCCTGGCGCGTTTACACCGATCTGAACCTGTGAACACCTCAGGGTTCAAGTCATTTCTCGTCTTATCCTTACGGTTGTAGTGAAGGAGGTTCAGCTGACGTCAGTCCCGTCCGCAGTCTACGTTTTTGGGCTGGCTCTGTCCCTCTCCTCTCGCGTGTGGTCCTTGACACGGTTCTGCTAATTACATGTTTTTATCCGTGGTGCTTGTAGTATGCCCTGTCGTGCTGACCTAACCTTTAGTAGCGGCGTATCCAGGGGGAGCTTTCGGGACAATGCACCCCATCCCTGAAGGTGGTGGGCCCCTGGGGCCGAGGGACCCAGCAGCTTTTGTCACTTTAAAACGTCCGTAGGACTTCCACAGCATCAATACACGGAGCCCAGGCATAAGGAAGAAAGCAGAATCTAAAACGATCCTCCGAAATCACAAACAGAGCTCCTAAGGCGTTGAATAGGGACTCCCTGACTGAGACAGCCTACTTTAATCCTGTTCTGGCCCTCTCGTGGGCGAAACCCTGCCTCCACCACTGACCCATGATCCCCATGATCCTACTGACATCCCTTCTTACCTAAAGTCCTTCAGGCATTCCCTGTCTTCCTGACGTTCCCTGTTGTTTTGAGGTGCTTCCGTCCTTACCTGAGGTCTCTAAGGTGGTCCTGCGGACACCCGTTCACCCTTGTCGTTCTAGAGCTAGTCTTTGTCCTGACGACCTGTGGCCCCATGGGAGATCCTGTTGACGCCAGGTCCCACATACGTTACGCCGGGTGGTCCTCCTGACCCCATCCGTGGTCTCGGGGATGGCCTGCTGACCTCACCTGTGGTCCCGAAGGTGGTCCTGCCGGCGGAAGGCCTTGCTGCAGATGTCGCAGGAGAAGGGCCGCTCGTCCGTGTGCGTGCGCTCGTGAATCAGCAGGTTGTAGCTCTTCGTAAAATGGCGCTGGCAATACTGGCAGATGAACTGCTTCTTGGGGCGGGCGGCGCGGCCGCGGCCAGGTCCGGGCCGCCGGGTGAGCGGCAACACGGCTGACAGGCCCGGGAAGAGCGCCGGCAGCAGCAGCGGCCGGTACGGCTGCAGCAGCGAAAGCGGCGGCGGCGGCGGTGGCGGCGCACCACCGGCCGGGCTCGGCTCCGTGGCCGACTCGGCCAGCCGCGAGAAGTCGAACTTGGCGCCGCTCGGCTCGCCGCTGCCGCCACCGCCGGACGTCAGCAGGCCGAGGCCGCGGCTGAGGCCGGCCATGTGAGAAAAGGCCGAGAGCACCTGCTGGGAGCGTAGCGAGCTCTGCAGCGCCATGTACGACTCGAGGGCGCTGAGGCCGGTGCCTGCTGGCGCGGTGGGCGGCGGCCGCCCGGGTGGGGACGCCATGGCAGCGGCGGCCGACCGGAGCGGGCGGTAGCGGACTGCCGCCGGGCGGCCAACGCCTCCCCTCCGCTACCAGGCGGCCGACTAACCGCGGAAGGCGGCTGCCGCAGACTCCGGCTTACGCATGCGCCGCCGCAGCGGGCGCTGATTGGCGGGCGGGCGGCGGCGGAGGCCAGCTGCTGCCGCCGCCGCGCTCCCGGCGCGAAAATGGCCGACCACCCGCGAGCGGCGGCGGCGGGGGCGCCGCCGAACCTCCCCCGGGGCGGGGCGGCGCCAGCTGGGGTGACGGAGGTGCGTGAGTTATGCCTGACCGCGACTGCTGGTCCGCGCCACTGCGCCGGCGGTCCACGAGAGACAGCGAGTGTGAAGTCACACGAGGCTGCGGCGAGCATGGCTGTGGGCAGGGATGCGCAAAGAGCACGTCAGCACCAACCTCTTCAGGACCAATGTAGGATGGTTTGGAGAATTCTGAAAAAAACGTGTGAGAGTTGTGCGAGCTTCACAACGCATTCATAGCGCAGATATAGCGCGAGGCGCCACGTCAGACCAGCGCTAGAGGTGTTTTAAGCTTCCACTCGACCCACGTGCTGAGTGGGTGGCGGGCGGCCCGATGGCGTGAGGTCAACGGAAACGGACCATTTGATGTATTTAGGTAAAGCCATGTCCAGAGAAGAGATAGTCTGTTTCCATGTTCAAAAGTGACGCAGAAGTGTCTTTGTGTGCCCGCGCCCGCGCCCGCGTGTGTGCCCGCGCGCTTGAGTGGGAGGAATTTCAAACTGGGTGGCCATGGGAGCATAACGGTCATCACCAGCCCTGCAGAGATTCACTTTCTGGCACTCAACCAAACCTGTGCTCGGCTTCGGGTGGAGTCGGAATGGACTATGGAATCAAACACATCTTTGTGAGTCATGGTGTGTTCGATTCCTTTGATTTACTGTTGTGTGTGACGGAGAAGGACCTTGGATCAGCATAGTTGTCGTAAGTCGACCAAAATGGAAAGGTAACGACACAATGTTTTCTTATTTTGATAGCTCTGATGCGTGCACAACGTGATACAACCTTGTAGAACCATACTTTTAACGAATACAGTTCCATGTTTAGGCCTTCATAACGGCTACAAAACAAACAATCGTCCGAAATGATGCCAAAGGAATCGTCCAAACTGATGCCAAAGGAATCGACTCAATCGGGATGGACTCAATCAAAATGGGTTCAAAAACTGGGGGACGTTTTTTGTATCAAAATCGGAGTCGATTCAAAGCCGATTTGGGCGATTTGGATTCGGAGTTATAACTGAATTCATGCATTTTGAGTTTCATTCGGAATCGATTTCACTGAGGCAGAATCAAGTGCGAGCCTGGCTCCAGCAGTCGCATATTTAATCATCTTGGCACCATCGTCCGCCAGGCACGCATGCATGTATTTTGGTAACAAGTGGATGTGACCTCGTAAGGCACCCACGGAGTTCCTCACGGGATTCTCCTCAGGGAAAATAATGTAAGAGTTTCAAAATGCCTCTTTTGGGATTTGGAGGATAATTAATGTCGTGCTTTTGTGTGCTATAGTGAGCGATGTAAAAATTCACTCGCTTGGCACTCATTTTCACATTTCCCCTGAAAATCTGGAGCCAAAAAGTCGGTAAGGGAGTGTGCAGCCCCGTCCACGTGGGCTTGGCTGCAAGTCTGTCGCCAACAGTCGCTGCGAGCTAAGATGCTCTGTTTGGGTCCGCAGGATGTCATTGCAGGACAGATAATAAAATGAAAACCAAAAAGCAGAACTGAAGCGACAAGAAAAAGTTGGAGCTAAAAATCGTCATTGATCAAAATCATGAAGGTAAGGATTAATGATGTCAAATGCAAATGGGAATTAAAGTAGAAATGGACCAGAGCTAGAGCGTAGAAACATCAATTCAATGGTCCAGAAGAACTAACACAACTTAAAGGGAATGCTCCACGGTTTTGTGCTTTTCACTTTTTGTTACATCAGACGCATACAACTTCATCAGTAAGACGATTTTTCTCGAAATCCTTCTGAATCGCTCAGAGTTTTTATTTCAAGTAGCCGACTCTGCCGAAGAAATCTCATTTGACTCCCTGCGCACTACTATGAAAGTTATGCATTTCACGTACTTTCCTGTTTCCAACGTGTGTGTTTATAATGTTTGGAACACACTTCTGCGCAAAAACGTTTGGGTGATATATGCTGCGAAAGCTTGAGGCATGCTTTTTAGACGAAAGCCAGACATCTAACGTCAGATGTCAGACGTCAGACGTCAGTTGGATGGATGAACCTGATAAATATTACTGAATTTTCCTTATTTGCACGCAAAGTCCAATTTCCTTGCGGAAAATTGGCGGGGACGGCAAAGCCGGTAAAGTTTAAGGAAAGAGGGGGAGGGGGAGCACCAACATTGTTGCAATTTAACATTATGCATGGCATGTGAGCCCTTATTTTTGTACCTTCCGTTGTCAAAAATTGACCTCCCATGAATTAATCCGCTGCTCAAAATAACTTCGGCTTTCAAAGTCCGTATCAAAGCGTCGTTGCACTAGAGGTAAGCTTTCTGACCCCTAAGTTAAAAAAACTTGTCATTCCCCTGTCATTGCCAACAAAAGGAGATAATTTGAAACCCAAATTGGCAACGTTGGGGACACTGCAATAGTCTGACCCCACCACCGCTTCGTGATGGGAGGGACCAAACGGCTAATAAAACCTGTTGACAACCCCATGCTCCGAGCGTATCAGACCGATCGACATCAAATCTGCAGCACTTGATGCCACTTGGTCGATAACCTCTACTCTCTAGAAAACGATAATCTTGGTCCAGGTCAAAAATTCACCGAAAACGCCGAAAATCGGAAACATAGGTTTGCAGGCAAAGCCCATGCATTGAGCTTGTGTGATATCCTTACCACAAAGCCTTCAACAAACAACGTGCCATAGTCAATATCTTATTCTTTTCAGACCATGACGACCTTAGGTCAGGTTAAACGTGACCAAAAACGCATTTATCAGGTCATCAGGCCACCAAATATCAGGCATATATCAGGCAGGCAAATATCACTTCCCAGACAGCCACATGCTCTGCGCCTATGGGACCGATCAGCTCAAAATATTTACCAATCGATACGTCATGGCCATTACCTTATCCTTTCTAGAACAAGGCAAACTTAGGCCAGGTCGGATGTCTCCAAAAACGTCTCAAATCACCAGAAATTAGTTTTTAGACAACCCAATGCTCCGTGCCTGGAGAATGGTCGAAACGTTCACCAATCGATGCACAATGGTCGATAATCTATCCTCCCCAGAAGATACTGGCCTCGAGTCAGCTTGTTTGACATGATTTCGGTGATGACGCGTAGTATTGCATCGTGGAAATCGGGTGCATTCTCCTTTAAATATGGATATTACGCATCAACGTCAAGATTGAATTGGAACAAGTTTGCCAGTTGCGGTAAGGAATCCAGGCAATGTATACTTACCTACTCACGGGATCAGTAAACACACAATGTATCCGAAAGGGCATAGAAATAGTGGCAACATCGAGGTGCAATGCCTGTCACCTACCGAAACAATATCCGTACCAAATCCGACCCCGGCAGCATCGCTTTTCTTGACGCTCCATGAATGGATGTATGCCAAGGAGTCGATCTAGATGAAGACACGCGTTTGTTGGGTGTGCCAGTCTTCTTTACCAGAACTGAAATTTGTACGCGAACGCCGGAGCTGTCCGGTTTGTCTGCGCTTCTACACTCACGAGGCGTCCAAATCATCTGGCGTCATCTGGCGCCATCTGGTGCCTCTGGCGATGCGGCGCAGATGCGTGCTCTCCGGGGAGAGGGTTTGTTTATGAGCGCCGTCAGGCACAGTGGGGAGGCCGTCGCCGGGCAGAGTCTAGTCAGTGGTCGGCCAGCCTCCGGCGCAGTGACACAGCAGCGACACCGCGGTAAGTCAGACCGGCCGTTGTGCGATGATGCTTCGCGGTGTGTAACGGCGATCGGTCGCATTTTGGGGCCGAGTATTAAGTGAACGGACACATGCTCCCACTCATTCGTGTCGCGCATAACCCATGCTTATGCCGATCCTCCGACCTGTGTTCGCATCTGTAAACAGCTGATTTCTTTGCATGGCACCCGGCTCGACGTGTGCCTCATGCATGACAGCACGTGGAAACCGAAGAGCACCGAATTGTTGATGCTCCAGTCGCTGGTCGTTACACCCCGACAAGCTCCGGTCGCTCAGGAGCCCGTCAGGACGCACTGCTGAACCGGGGACCAGCTCCGCAGGCCTGGTGACCCATGAACGTTTTGACCGCTGGCCGACCGCGTAATAGCCCAGACGGCGCGCTAAAAGTTGAAGACATACTCATCCCCGTGTCCGCATACCCCTTGTCGCGTTTCAGATGCAGCCATCGCTTTGGCTTCTCCTGGTGCTTGCGCGGGCGACGTGGGCGCAGAGCTCGGCCGACAACGATGCCTTCCTCAACTCACTGACGGGCGGCGCCGACGCGCCGCCGCCTGCCGGCGCGCCGAGTCCCAGCGCGAGCGACGCCGCCCTGCTGGACGCACTGTTAGGCACTGTCGACGACGGCCAGCCGCCGCCCAAGTGCAAGAGTGTCACCGACACAGCCAGCCTGAGCGACCAAGACTTCCTGGCGGCGCTGACCGGCGGGTGTCAGACCGACAGCGGGCTGGAGCCGGAGCCGGCCACGCCCTGCGAGCGCGGCGAGTTCCAGTGCGTGCCCTACTTCCGCTGCGGCGAGGAGGACATCGTAAGCGACCAGCTGGGCGCCTTCGACATCCGCATCGGCAAGACGCAGTTCGAAGACGAGCACGATTTCC